ATTTTGAAGCGTGTGCGGGCCAGAGGACCGAGTGATGTCAACCGGGACTGAGAAGTGGATTCTTGGTTCGACTTCGTCTGTTTTTTATTGCTATTTAAGGTCGCATCAACACTAGATCATCGAGCACTATCGGATTTAACGTTATAGTAACTACGAAGATGACAAGATATGGTGATGATAGGGAGTGAAAGGGCGAACACAAATACAACCATGCCCGAGGAGACTCGAACCCGCGAACCCTTAGTTCGAGATCGCTACGACACTACCGCCTTAACGATCTCGGCCATTCGGACAACTTCATCTGTTTTTTTGCCATTTGGAAGAGATGCCTCTGTGCCTCTCGCGGTTGTTCTTCTTGCAAGTCTGTCCCGGGAACAGGTGTAGCCCTCTTCGGGGAAAGCTGTGGTGGCCGCCGGGGTCGGGGGAGGGCGGCGGAGAGGGTAGCCAGTTGTAGAGGCGCCGGGCGAACGCGGCCCGCCTCCGCAGGAAGCGACGACCTGCCTTCGCGCGAGGGCTTTGTGGAGTGGACGGAACAGAACTATAAAGATATAGGCGTACCATGCTGAATGCTAGACGGGAACTGTATTGTCGAAATACGGTACTGCTTGGCGTCATTAACATGGAATTGATTAGGGGAAGCCGTTGAAAATTTAGCTTTAGTGAAATTATATTCTCTTCTCTCGACAGCAGCCAAGCAGTCCAGATGGTAATGAACATTATAACATATTAATTTTGACTTTGTAGATTTACGTTGTGGTTGAATGTTTGTTTGACCAGTCCATAATAGTGAATGCTAAACAGTATTGTTCAATTGAGTTTTAAATGAATAAATGTTCGCATTTTTTAATGATAGTTACATTTATCGCATAGGAATTTTGCATTTAAAAATATTTTGACTTCGTGTTTAACATGAGGTGGGTAGGTTTGCATGAGGTTAGTTCCGTAGTGGGAACATCAAATTGTTAATTTAAAGGAAATAGTGGTCGCCAATAGAGGTTTCACTCAAAGCCTAGTGAGGAAAAGTCGCGACGCGATTATATAAAGCAGATGTAGGGATTTTCCGAATAGCGAACTGTATAATTAGCAAACAGTCGGGAACATTTATAGTTTACGTGGACAATGGTTTCATGAACCACACCACAGGAGGACCCAGGACATCCCATTTTGGAGAAGACGGGGGCATCGAACCAACCAAGAAGACATTCTGTAATCTTACGAACTTTATCAAAGCCGTACGGTTAAACAATATTAAAGGCCATAGAATCATTAATCAATAACTTGCTCAAAATATGTTATTAGAATCTTAAAACAAATGTTAATAGTGTGAAAAGAAAGGTTAATATTTCATTGAATTGCCATCAATTAAGTCTGCAGTAAATTCCACAGAAGTTCCAGAAATCGTGATTTTTGTAGTCACACTTTCACTTGCAAAAGGTAAAGTGACGTATGTTGTACGTCGAACTAATGCGAGATCGTAAAGAAAAACAGAGCTGGCCAAATTATGAGTTATTAGAGCAATTCATTTACAAACATAGATTAAATTACAAGATTCATAAAAACGTTATAAATGGCTGCCTAGCTTGGGGCACGATAAAATATATTTAATTAGTAACATCAATGATGTAGATTACAAAATGCCTTCCAACGCGGGGCAAGATAAACGTGAATAAGAAGCACGTTACAAATTGTCACGCCCAAAGTAGGGCCAGTTAATGCACGTTACAGTACGCAATAATAATTTATAATTTTCACAAAGATTTACCATTGAATTCTTCACATGTAAAAAAATCTAATAATTTTTTTTTATTTACGTCTGTAAACACGTGCTTAGCTCCTTGGCAACCACCTAAACGCTTTAAGAGCGCTTCCATAGCAACGGCCGTTAAAACGCTGGAGACTATTAAAATATTTTAGCGGACTCTAGATTATTTTTTACCAATGTACAAAAATATTTGGATAAATACGTCCCTTTTGTCCCCCATGTCAGTTTGCTCCCTTGGCTCATTTTGTCCCCTTGCCCTCTTCGTCTCTTTACCCGCTTTGTCCTACTTGTCTCCTTTATCATTTCACACACTGCCTTCATTATTTAACGGAGTGCCAAGACAGTGCACCAACAGCCCTTGCTAAAGAACATTGGGAATAGAGTAACTAGAAATAACAAGAAATATTGTATGTAACACATCCTCTATTAGTCTTTAAGGACTTGTCATATAATTATTTTGCAAACTACTGTTCCCCATGCATCCCATTTCAACCTAGGACAAGATGAATCCACAAAACTAACATGCACTTGACTCTTTAAATGTCCACAATCTGGCAGACACAATATGACATTAGCAATCCATCATTAATCCACAAATCTTAACTGATTCTCTTTTAAATCAGTGTATTATTAATCTTAATGAATAAGAAAAGTTGCCATAAAGTCATGTTATATTAAAATATTACCTCTGTTCGAAATTACTCGTTTTGAACAACTGAATATCCAAAGATAGAAAATAAGGGGACGTTTATGTAGTTTTGCTATTTGGTTCCTACATATTTTTTGGATCACTTAACCCAAAAATAAGAGTTAGGTCAATGAGAATTTTGCCTACAAACATGTTAAGCAAAACTATGTAACTTTTTTCAATTTCTTCAAAATAAGTCTAGCAATAAATTTTTCATAAACTGTTACATATGAAATTAAAGATAAAATTCCCTACATTTAACATTCTAAAGCTTTTTCAACTTAATCAATGTTTTAGGTGCAAGAGAACTAGCAAATTTGTAGCTGTTAGCAAATATCCTAGAAACTAATGGTGCTATGATACATCTTTCTCACATTATTTCTAACTTTAGTAATTTTCAAAAATTCAAAAAGTTCAATGAAAATGGGACTTGCACCATTTTTTAAGCAACTCTTGTTCTATCTTTAAAAAATAATAGCACAGTGTTTTAGAATTTCTTTGTTATTTGCATTAACTTCAATCAGAAAATATGTAAAAACTACTCATTTTCAGAAAATTGTACATGACCTTTTGAAAAATTTAATTTTGCAACAGATTTAAATTAAGACAAAAATCTCCATTTTCAATTATGTACTCTTGAAACATTAATTTTTTACAATTTCTGAAAATATAGGATGTTTGTCGAAAATGGGACTAACACCAATATTTTTAACCTGCTACACGAGGAAAAAATATCAAAATACTTGACAGATATTTGACAAAATAGTTGTTAAAAAATTATAAAATATTTTGTGTAAAATCTACTCATATTTTTGAAAAATTTTACATAAGCTTATTTCAAGATATTTATGAACAAGATTTTATTCAGGGGAAAAAACTACCTTATATATTAATGAAGGAAGATGGCAAAAAAAATTTTATTTCTCGCAATTTTTGAAAATGAAGAGATTTCAGTTAGATAATTATTTATAAAAAGGATATTTTTTTTTATTCATTTGAAAAAGAATGCAGATGTGTGAAGTTCTACATATTTTTTTGCTTACCAAATGCGTTTCTAGGCAAAGTTCATATGATTAGCGAGCCAAAAGAAAAATAGGAAATCGAAGCCACACTAAAACCTCCAATATTTGCACTTATAGAGAACCATTCAAATAGATTACATGGCTGTCCATTGCATTCTAATCATAATTTTGCAGTAAAGGTTCTAGTAAATAAAATCCCTAATCAGTAACTTCTTACCTAAACAAAGATGGAACAAAAACTATGCTGGGATCTGATACCAACACTCCTTTAGTTGGTATAAGATGTAAATACTGATTATCTCACAGCCAAAGTGTAAGACATTTTACAGTACAACTGCGCCTTCATGAGCTGGGCAGATGTCCAAAACCTTCCGAAATATTCCTCTGATTCCAAATCATAATTGTTTGTTGGAACCGGCACCCTGTGTGAAAAACACCTACCAACGTACTATTTAGAAAGCCTGTGGGAAATTAGAAGGCACAAGTATTCTACACACTGTCACGATAGTGACATGTAAGAAACGTGCTTAGAGGGTTTGTGGTGACAATGGTGATTACGCTGAATGTTAGCCATTTTACATTTCTTGTGTTAACTACACTTGGACACTACAATCTTCTCGACAAATGTAACATGGGTTTCAAACTGTATGGTTATACCCGTAGATAATTAATGGCTAAACAATATAAATGATTTTTCTTTGGAATATAGATTTACTCAAGTAATTACTTTGGGAAGTTCTTGGCAAAACCATAACCATGGTCTTTTCATTTGCTATATACCATTTGACATCTATTAACTAATCTCCAATGTGTGCAGAAACAGAAAGCAAACTATGCAGCCTCTGGACTTCGGAGTGGTGTCTATGTTTTCATTCAATACTCAGGAACTCCAGAAAAATCAAGAAACAATGAAACACTTTCAATTTTAACTCAACAGCAACTTTCCCAATATTCTTTTTATGTAAAGAACTGTTGTACACAAGTTCTTTGGGTTAAAGTAGGGTACACGGTACACCCTCAGAGAAGCAAGGTGGTGACCGCAGCAAGGGGGCTCCCTCAAATTATGCTACGCGTTCTGATAGAAATTATGGATAGGCAATTTTTGTGTCTGACCCTTCATAAGTGTCCCTGCTGCATTTAATGTCAATTTACTTCCAACCGCAAGTTTTGTCGCTTCGCTCACCCGGATCCAAGTCACGGCGAGGCTCAGGCCTTCGGCGTTCGGCTTCGCGTTCATTATAAACGTCCTCAAGTTTATACACCATAATTACCAATTCACTTTTATAAGACAGCACTTTTCAAGAAAGCCGCCAGAAAGCAAACTGTGCAATTGCCACTGGAGCGGCACGAAGTGCCGATTTAAACGTCTTCTGTAAGCTGTACCGTATACTAGACTTTAGCCGTTCTTTGTAGCAGAGATGGCACATTTTGAGAATCACAGCATGTAAAAAATACAATTAAGATAAAGTACATCTGTAGCAAAGGAAGTGATATTCTCATTACAAAAGATAAACTAATATTCATTATGTACCATAAAAATATATTTCTTTGAGTGCATATCTTAACAAATGGAATGCTGTTATACAATTTTATATTTACCACATAATTCAAGAACTTTTATTTTGTAATTGCTGGAGAGAGCTATTAACTGTATCCCTCATTTGGGAAATCACTGCTTTTGGATCTTTAGCTCCAATAACTGCTGTACCAGACACAATCATATTAGCACCAGCCTGCAAAAGAGGGAGTATGTGGAGTACATACATTTACATTTATATAAAGCAAAGTTTCTCAAACTTTTTTGGTCCACATTTCACTTCACTATAACTCAAGAGTTCCTTTGGTTTACATCAGACAGAAATAGCCTCCTCTTCCACATTCTACCATGATCTACTTTTCTAGATTGATGGCTTCCAATGCTTTCAACCTTGCCTCAAGTTAGTCATTTAAGTAAATACGAAAGGATCATAAATCATCTTCGTAATTAAGATGGAAAGATATAGAAAAACATATTACATTTCCTTAACCACTGCAGGACCCCTTCGGGATGGATGCAGCACAATTTGAGAACCTCAGTTACAAAGAATATATATTTTTGATATTGTAATTACAAAAATATTTCTCAAAAAGGGTACCACTTAGGAGTTAAAAAGACTAAGACATTCAATAATATATCCGATATTAAAATATTTCACCTACTATCTTATATGCATTGTATGTTAACTCAATTATTTTATATTAATTATTATAAGGTATTAATAACTGCAATGTCCTCGAACCCAAAACTTGTATGGTTGTTACACCCTTAGCAGTTGTTAATGATGCACTTTCAATAATAGATATTTCATAATCAGTCTCTAATTTCTTTCTAAACCATCAATCTGCTAGTACACAAATTTAGTTTTCTTAAACGCAATGGCTCCTTGCTTCTCCTTAAACAATTATTTCATGTGTTGCCCTTCTGCTTAAATAGTGCAAACAACCACTATGAAGAACTTCTTAAGGTTGAGCCAGACTTTTCTCATTGTTCATCAAAATACATGAATTTAACTTGATCCCTCATCAAAACACAGGTCAAAGTGATTATAAACTATTTTAATTTATGACAAAGTAATATTAGGTGTTCTTTTTAATTTCTAAAAACAGACATATCAAGGCCACCATCTACCACTGTATTTAAACACCAACTAATACATACCTCAGCACAAGCTGCTATTGTAGCTGGACCAACTCCTCCATCAACTTCTATGTCCAATTCAGGGTATTGCTGCCTGAGCCATCGTACTTTATTCATCATGTCAGTCATGAATTTCTGGCCTCCAAAACCTGGTTCGACTGTCATGATAAGCACCATATCAGCATGATCCACATATTGTTCCACAGCTGTCACATCAGTTCCAGGTTTCAATGCCAGGCCGACCTAAAAAAAAAATCAAACAATATTAAATGCATCCATAATTCAGTTGCTATGGTTGGTAAAAAGAGAATAAAAAGGAGGGAGGGGAGAGAAAGGGGTGAGGGAGTTAAGACTACTTCAGAAGTGATGCACTTACAATGAAAAGGAATGCATTTATCTATGAAGGTGCATGATTGAATTCAATTTTATAAAAAAAATCATTTCCATCAAGGACCATGCATACTCCTATTTGTTGAAATTCCTCTTTCAGAAGTTTTAATACCTAAGAAGATCAGGTTTTTTTTACTTTCCAGTAGTCATTCATTTAAGACCACTAAGGCAAAAACAAAAACATAATTTTTTACCCATTTCAATTCACATTTAGCATAATATGACTGTACAATGAAAATAATGATAAAAAATACATTATCAAATATATCAGGAATAAAAGATCATTATGTGTGACG